GGAAGCAAAAACCGAACAGTGTTTTACGTAGGCTGGTACCTCAGCCATCATCTTACTGGAACCATCTCCCAAGTAGGGGTGCTGGCAGCCCCTGGGACTGGTTCTGTATCCATCAGCTATCTGTCACTGGCTTGCCAGGAGATGGGGACCCAGGGCCTTTGCAGTGGGTGGTACGGACCAAGGGAAGCTGCTTGGAGGACTCATCTCTGGCTCCGCCAAACACAGCCCATCCTCCTCCTGGCCCCCTGAGGCCTTGACCCCCTGTGGGCCCCATGCTCAGGCTGGCCTTTGTCCTTCAGACTCGACCCCCGACCCTCGCATTGACGTCAGTCTCAGCAGGGTGCCCCTTCCTTTGCTGTCCCCAAGGCTCCTCAAACATCAGCTGATTGGGCAGACGCAGGGACTCAGCTTGACCTTCGCCCGGTGGCCTCATCCTCAGGTGTTCACCTCTTGTTTTTGTGAAGGGCTGGTTTCCTAGAGCCTTGGTTCTTAGTGTTAGGTCACTGCACTGCAGCGGCTGGGGTGGGGGCAGGTGTCATTAGTGTGTAGTGGGCACTCTCTGCCTGTCTAGCTTTGTGCCACTTCCTCTAATAACGCCAATTTTGGCGATACAGTTCCTGGAACCCCAGACTTGCTTTGATTGCTAAAATCCTCCAAAAGTCAATTACAGGCGAGACCTGTTTGCTTCAAACCCGAGAAGAAGGGCCTGGTCCCCATCAGCTGTCGTGGCTCTGCATCTTCTCCCCCGCTGCCCCCGCCCCCGCCCCCGCCGCAGGTTGGCCTCCAGGTTCTGGTCCCTGCGGCCGGGCTCTGGACGGATGAGCAGACGTGATCAGGTCCTCTGTGTCTTCAGCAAAAGGCCCCTTCCAGCTGGTCTCAGGGTCCCCACCAGTGGGTTGGTGGGAAAACCAGAGTCAGGCCTCACACATTCAGCCAAGCTGGGAAGGGCACACCTGCCACACAAGCAGGTGTCCAGGACTCAGCCCTCGGGGTCACAGCAGCAGCGTTATTCCAGGGTGGCAACTTAGCATTTCGTGTTCCTTAGAAAAGCAAGTCCTTCCGCCCCGCTCCTGTTCACCTGTTAACCCTTGGAGTTAAGGTGGCAGGGGGGCCCTCTGACTGGCTGGTGGGCAGCACACTCCTGCCATGCCTTCATTTTGAGAGACCATCGCTCTCCAAGACGAGGGCTGCAGCCTCTCTTTGGGCCGAGGCCACAGCCTTTGGGGCCAGAGGCCAGGCTTCCGCTGCGCACTGGACTGGCCAGTCCCAGGTGCTGTGGCCCCTGCTGCCCAGCTCTTGAGTGTCGTGAGCGAGCCCACCATCCCCTGGCAAGTCTCTTCTGTTCTTGTCGGTCCATTTTCTGGCAACTCTTGATTTACAGTTACGTGCTGAAGGGAAGAGGAATTCACCCTGCTCAGATCTCGTTTTATGCGAGGGGCCCCCAAAAGCAACACCCTGTTGTAACTCGCCCTCCCGAGAGCAGAGCCCTTCTCTCCCCTGGGCCCCAGTGAGCCAGTCGGCCATCTGCAACGGAGTTGAAAGGCGAGTCGGCCGCCTTCTGAAAGGAGTTGGCTATATTTAGGGTTTAAAGCAAGTCTGCTTTGCTTCTTTGTAAAGTCAGCGACATTCTTTCCATTTTTTTAGGTGTAATTAGCACAAAAGGAGCCGTAATCTGAGAAGGTAGTAGAGACTAAAAGGACCTAGAGGCAGGAATGTTCAAGAAAGGGGGCAGGGGCGGCTTTCCCAGCCCCGGGCGGTTCCGAGCCTCTGACGGGCTGGGCTGCAGGGCCGAGGGCTGACAGGCGTCTGAAGCTCATCTCCTCCTCATGTGACCCCCAGACTGGTGCCGAGTGCTTGATCCTGCGGGTGAATGATTTTCTCCTCCAAACTTCCTGAGGTCGGCAAAGACCTTAGAAAGCCACCGGCTCTGCTGGTGTGGTGGGCTCCCCAGCAAACACTGCGTTTCGACAAATGGAAACGCCACCGGGAGGAGGGATGGGGCCTGAGTACAGGCCCCTGCACAGGAGGTGGTGGCCCTCCTCCCCCCGGGAGCCCTGGCCTTGGTGCCCAAGGCCATCCCCCAAAACACAACCCGGGGCGGTGGGCAGGGCCCCAGCCACGACATGGTTCCCTGTTTCAGTGTAGACACCGGCAGGCGAATAGGCAAAGATGGAAAGGTACCTGCATTTCTAGATGGATTAAACACGTGGCTAATTGTCGCATTAGTTGCTTAATTTTAATTGCTTGATTCAGGGTTTATCAACAGCAGGTGGACAGGGGGTGTCCGTTCCAAAGGCAAGTGACACCCATGGCCCCATCCATCACCTTCCCCGTTGTCCCAAACGGAGGCTGGTGACCAGGCACCAGGCTGTTTGAAAAGGACCAGCCACTTTGGTTGGTAGGTAGACAAAGCAAAGGCCCAAGAAGTACCATCTGTGTTTGGCCATCTCTCTGTTGGTGGCATGTGTGCACGAAGGAGCCCTTAAGGAGAGGAAATGTGTCGCCCGCTTGAGCGGAACGCTCAGAACTCCTTGCGGCGGAGGACCACGTCGGTCTGCGGTCCTCGGGCAATTGTGCCCACTCGCCTTCTGGTTTCCTGCCGTTGCGACTTGTTTAGTAAGGTGTTAGGTGAAAACGTGCTCCCTCGGTAAGGAACCTTGCAGATTGGAACAGAAATTAGCAGGCCGCCCGTACCCCCTGCTGTGCGTTCTCTGTCCTCGAGGCCAAGCTGTATGTTCTAAGTGACAGGTTTCCCTGTTACCTTTATCCTCACGATAAAAATTTCCCCCTAGAGGAGTTGAAGCTATTTTCACTTAGGAAAATCGGCTCTCCAACTGTGGGTGACACTTTCGCATCTTTCTTTTTTCTCCCCAGTTAAGATCTCTAGTAAGTGAGTCCACGGGTCTGCGGCTGATGTTGCTTTCTGAAGTGCACTTAAAGTTCTTTTAGAATCAGTTGATGGATATTAAATAAGGAGGTTGCTGGAGTTTGTTAAAGATTTTATTTATTTACTTTTAGAGAGGGGAAGGGAGGGTGAGAGAGAGGGCGAGAAACATCCACCAGTCACCTCTCGCACGCACGCCCCCACCCGCAGGCCCCAGCCCAGACTTGTGCCCTGGCCACAGCCATGTCGTGAATTCCTCAATTTTGAGTCTTCCCACACGAAGGGTCGCTACCTTGAATGTCGCGTTTGGTTTGGATGCAGGTCGAGGGTGCCCGTGCTGGTTGCTGCTGGCTGGTGAACAGGACAGGGGAAGCAGAGCCTCGCTAGCCACCACCCTGGGGTCTGAAGAACCCCGTGGTCCCGAGGCGCAGTGGGCCCAGGAATGTGGGGTTTCCAGTCCTTACTCTGGGCCCCTGCCCAGCACGGGCCTCAAGTCACATTCAGGTGCAAACCACACTCACGGCCACTGTAACTGAATAAAAGTGCAGAGAGTGCTTTAAAGACAAAAAGCAGAGCGAACACACTGAAGACTATTAAAACCTCACAGCCAAGGTTTCTGCTTCCGTGGGAACCTTCTCACTATTTCCCTGTGCCGTTAAAATACTGTTATAATTGCATTTTCTCTGCGCTCTTACAAACATCCCAACTAGTGCAAGTCCAGGAACCCTCTTATCCAAAAACTGAATTGTATCAAGTTTAATAATAGTTTCAAGACTCTGAGCCATGGCGAGTCCGTTGCTCCTGTAAGCAGATGAGGCGACTCTCCTGCCCACCCGGGGAGATACAAAGGGGCCAAGGAACACGTCCACCCGTGAGTTCGAGGCTTGCGAGACCACATCACTCCCATCCCCGCCCTCGAACTCAGCCCTCATTGTCCACTGCCCAGTGCCGGAAAGGATTATGGCTAGGTTGTCCCTCTCTGCCACGTGCGACACCATCTGTGTGACCGGGTTGTATCAGTCTGTGACCTCGTGTTTTAGGTTAGGGTGCGTTCGTATCCCAACTTGCTGGCTCTGGCGTGAAGCAAGTCCCCTGAGCCAGGGACCTATGTCCTCCCCGGCACTCCACACCCAGGACACTCTGGCCCTGTGCCCCTCTCTGGAGCCTGGAGTCTCCACCGCTTCCATCTCCCCCCGAGCCACGTGAGAGGCCCCTTCCACGGCAAGGGTCTCCAGCCTGGACTGTTCCAAGAATTATGCTAATGCATTGTTCTGCTCTTAAAGCATAAACCAGGTACTTAAAATGGTAATGACCTAGTGAAATAAATTACTAATTCCTATGAAAAGGTCACCCATGGCAACCTTCACACTGGAAAGACTTAAAAAATGAAAACTTTTAAAGCCTGGGTAGGTCAAACGCAAGACTGAAAACTAGCTGGTGCCAGCTCACCACGCCAGTTGAGTGCAGTCTCATCCTTCCCTTTGTGTGGGGAAAGCTGCCCCGGCCGCAGCGGGGCCTGCGTGTTCTCCCGCTCTCAGCCCTCGATTCCACCTGCTGTCACTTCTTGGCAGGGGAAATGTTTTGTGTGTCCATCAGCGGTTGGTCATAATAAAACATAGGGGAAACCTACATTAAAAAAACCATTTTTCGAGGACGGCCTGCTAGGTCACAAGTTGAGATGACTAACGCCTAATCTTGCTACATGTGTTTCTAGGACAATAGCCCCCTCCTGACTCCTTTGTCTGGAATACGTGCCAGTATGTGACATGGGACAGATTCACTCCCTCCAAAGTTATGGTGTGACAGATATTTCTCCAAAAGGGGAGCCGGGACCCCAGCTCAGGGATTTGCAAGCGGGGAGGTTGTCGATTACATTGTAGTGATAATGGGAGGTTGTCGATTACATTGTAGTGATAATGTGTAGCCGCTGGCAGCGATCTCAGGGCTGCGCTGGTTACTGTTTACCTTCCTCCTCTTAAATACAATGTGTGTTCGTGCTTTGACACAGGAGAAGCAGGAAGAAAGATGCTTTTGAACAAAGGGTGCCTACCAAAAATTTCTGGTCTCTTCCTCCTCCTTCTAAGTCTCCCCCATTTTTTAAAAGACAATCAATTAATGAAATTCAACCGAGGTTTTATTTAATGTATAAACATATAAAACTTAGACCTTGTCTGCAAGTAGTTTGCTAGCTGATGGGTGGTTGTGAGTCATGTCACCCTGGCCCTACTGGGGTTCGGCGTCCCAGCTCATTTGGGGGCCTGGGCTCGGTCTTTCCTCTGCTGCTGTTTATGTGCAGAGCATCACCTTATCACCTAGGACCGTCCTGCCTTTGGGCTTCTTTTCCCAAAAGAGGCCTGCATTTGAAAGGGAGAGAGCCCGACTCCAAAGTGCGCAGCAAAGCCCCGCTCGGGTTTGGACGCAGCCAGCTGGGACGGCTGGAGGCGGCCGGGGGCAGGGCAGCAGCTGCAGGTCCCGGTCCGCCGGCAGCTCCGGCTTCCTGGTCGCAATCTCGAGTGTTCTTTGGGCATTTTGAATTGTTCCGTCGTCCATGCAGACCCAGAAAGAAAGAGGCCTTGTACACAAGTGTAGAGGTACACCTGAAGCCCAAAACAATAGCATGTGAGGTCCTCAGGGTGCGCCTTTTCCCCACCCTCGGGTGCGAAGCTGTTTGGAAATCTTCATATTTCCCAAGAAAGCCTGAAGCTGGTCACGGCAACTTGTTCTCAGGCCTCTGGGAGCACCATACCCACCCCAGGGCCCGAGGACTGGTCAGTGCGTTTCCGTCTACGGTTCAGCTTCCCTTCTTCCCCCAGCCCCAAACATTCAAAAGTTTACTGACTGTTTAGAAGTCAAAAAAGTTTCAAGATGGGAGAGTTCAGCATCACTTTGTCTGAGTTTATTGGCAGGTAGGCCTGTGGGGCAACAGAGGCAGCCACCATGTCTCAACCTGCTCACCTGGGGCCCCAGCTCACCTGGGCACAAGGCAGCCCGCGGACTAAGCACTGACTGAACGAGTGAACTGTACCTAAGCAGACACCGGAGTGGCAGCGAGTGACTCAACTAGGGTCTCAGGAAAAGTGCGCAGCGGCCCAGCAGCTGAAAGCTCCATGCCGCTCCTCTTAGCTCAGGGCTCTCCACCACAGGCCAGTGTCAGGGCAAGAGCGGGGCGCGGGTAGTTGAGAGTTTTTTAAACAACCTGCAAACCAATTCCTGTCCAATAAACTACTTTTCCCTCTGTTCCAGAGCTCGCCCACGGGCCCAGGCCGGGCCTCGGAGAAGCGGGACTGCCCGGTCCACCACCTCTCCCGCCTGGGAAGACGCCGGGTGCACTGACTCCGCAGCTTCGGCAGCTCCGCTCGCCCCGCGCGTCGCCGGCACGCTGCCTACTGCTTGCTTCTTCCAGCAGTGCTAGTTTTGCGCTCACGCAGCACTTCTCAGATCTGAAACTCCGTCTGGGCGTCGCGAGTAGTGAGGTTCCGCGACACCCACCTCCGCGGGCGCGCGCCGCCGGGAGGGCGGGGTGGGCCCGGCCCGCGTGCGCTGCCCGGGAGCCGGAGGTGAGGAGGCGCGCCGCAGGGGTGAGCGCCGCCGTCGCACACTTTGCACGCCGCCCAGGGCTACACCACTCACCGAAAATTGGGAGGCAGGTCTGGGAGGCGGGGTCCGGCGCCCACCAACTTGGGCGCCCCCTCGCCCTCCCCTGCTGTGCCCCCTGCGCTCCCTGCCCACTTCCGCGACGTCCCCACACCGGCCCGCACCCCCGGGTGGCGCGGCGGCCCATTTGGGCGCGTCCTTGGCGGGCCGGATTTTCGGCTTCCCCTTCGCTTTATAGGGGCCGCCGCTGTGGGTCCGTCCTCTGAAGAGGCTGGGGCGTCATCGGGCTGGTTAGGAGCGCTGGTCTTCAGCTGGGACACTCAGTCGCGTCGGCACCGCGGAGCGGGCTGCGTCAGGTGGCTGGCCCCACGCGGAGCTCGCTGGCTTGCCGGCTCTCCGGCTTGGGGCTGCGGCACCGCGGCTGGAGCGAACCCCTGTCCCGGCGTGGGGCGGCGGCGGGCGGCTGGCAGGCACTGCCTTGCGTGTGAGTGCACCTCACTCACATGTAAGTCCGGGTGCCCCGTGGCTTCCCGCGAAGTGCGAGCGGCCCGGCGCGGGCAAGGGCCACCGGGACCGGGACAGGGCAGGGGCGCTCCGGCGCTGCCGCCCTGCCCCGTGCCTCCCGGGCACCCCCCAATTCTCTCTTTTCTCTTTTCTCCTCTCCATTGGCGTGCCCAAGAGCCAAGCCAAGGAGCGCCTGAGGGTAACAGAAAACTCGTGCCATCGCGCCTCTGCACTTTTCTTTTTTGAGTTGTTTGACATTTCTTGGTGCTTTTTGGTTTTTCGCTGTTGTTGGGTGCTTTTTAGTGTGTTCTCACCCATTTTTCGTTTGCTCATCCTTTTTGGCGCAAACTCTTAGGCAGCCCTCCCAGCAGCCCAAAGCCGGGCAGCCGCGCTCCGCGGCCCCGGTACAGCGTTTCGGGCATTGCAGCGGAGACCCCCGACACGGGGCGCACGGGGTTCGGAAAGGCCGAGGCCAGGGGCAAGCAGGGTGCCCGGGCCAGGCGGGAGCCGGGCACCCCGAGGTGGCCGAGCAACCATGCTGAAGATGGCCATGAAGATCAAAGCCAGGGCGCTGGACAGCGAGAAGAAGGCGGCGGCGGCGGCAGCCGAGGTGGCTGCCGAAGCTGCGGCGGCGGCTGCAGCGCTGGCCGAGGCCAGAGAGCCACCGGCACCGCTGAAGAGTGGGGATCCCCAGAAGACCACGAAGAACCCCAAGAACCTGCCGCACGGGGCACCCCACGAGAAGTTCCTGACCGAGAAGGAGCAGAGAAAGCTCGAGAAGAAGCTGCTGGAGCAGAGGCGGAAGGAGGAGAAGAAGAAGGAGAAGGAGAGGAAGAAGTTAGAGAAGATGCAGAAGAAGAAGAAGAAGAAGAAAGGGTCCGAAGCTCAGGAGGCGGCTCAGGAGGCGGCCCGCGGCCCCGAGGGCGCCGGCGACGCAGACGAGGGCGCCGAGGAGGCCGCCGCCGGGGACGGCGAGGGCGCAGGCGTCGGGGGCACGAGTAGGGCCTGGGCCGCGTGGGAATCGGACTCGGGCGACGAGGACGACGCCTATTACATCGCGCCCCGCGTGGGGGGCGTCGTGTGGCGGCCTGGGCCGCGGAAGGCTGGCGCGCTGAGCGCCCACCTGCCCCTGGTGGTGTTCCTGGTGTTCTCCGTGCGCAGCCCCTCCTGGGTGCTCAACTTCCTGCTACAGAAGCCCACGGAGCAGGGCCGCGGCTGCGGCTTCGTGTTCGGGGCGACCTGCTGCTGCCGCCTGTTCCTGGGCTGCGCTTTCTTCTCTTACTGGGGCGGCCGCACCAGGCGAAGAGGCCGTGGGCGCTCCGGGGCCACAGGGGCCTTTGGTTCGGGCCAGGGGGCCCGGCGCCGGGGGCGCGATGAGAGGCTCATCTAGCGCGCCCCCCTTGCCCCCCACCCCCGCCACCAGACCCCACCATCCATGTGCAGTGTGGAGTTTTATTCGGTGTTCGTGTGTGTGTGTGGACACATTTTCCTTTTCGGTTGCTCTGTCCTGTGGTTCCTGCTTGCCTCGCTGTTTCCACACTCCCCGCTCTCTGGCTCTCTCTGTGACTCGCTCTTCTCTTCGAAAATTTTCCGAAGTCCGGGCTCGGGCTTGCGCTCCCTCCCCTTCCGCCCACCCCAGCCCCTCGGTGGCGCCCGCGGGAGGGGGGGCGGCGGCCTCGGGGGCCGCTGGGCGACGCGGCCCGGGGGGTGGAGCGTTGGCGTCGCGCGAGGGGTCGTCCCTGGCTCGGAGCCGCCCCCTCTCCCCCCGCAGCCGGCCGGGCTGGGGCCCGAGCCAGGGGGGCGAGGGGGCGGCGCCCTGGCCTGTCCCTGTCCCGTTCCGGGCCGGGTGCGGGCGGAGGGACCCCCCTTCCCGGGCACCCGGGGGGCGCCTCCCTCCGCCAGCTCCCGCCCTCCCCGCCGCCGCGGCCGCTCCTCATCCCTCCTCCTCCTCCTTCCACCCCCCTCGCCGCCGCCGCCTCCTCCTCCCCCCGCTCCCCCCCGCCCGCCGGGGCCCTTTTGGGTAGGGGCGGCGGGCCCGGGCCGAGGCAATAAGAGCGGCGGCGGCGGCAGCGCGGCAGCAGCGCCCGCAGCTCCTGCTCCGGTCTGCCTCGGCCCCGCGCGGCCATCAGCCCCTTCGGCTCCGGCTCAAGGGGCGGGCAGCGCGCTCCCTCGTCCTACCGCCACCTCCCGCCCCGTGCGGCCCGCAGTCCGCCCCGCGCTCCTCCCCGAGGAGCCGAGCCCGCGCCCGGCCCGCCCGCCCGGCGCTGCCCCGGCCCTCCCGGCCCGCGTGAGGCCGCCCGCGCCCGCCCGCCCGCCGCCGCCGCAGCCCGGCCGCGCCCCGCGCCCGTCGCCGCCGCCATGGGCTGTCTCGGAAACAGTAAGACCGAGGACCAGCGCAACGAGGAGAAGGCGCAGCGCGAGGCCAACAAAAAGATCGAGAAGCAGCTGCAGAAGGACAAGCAGGTCTACCGGGCCACGCACCGCCTGCTGCTGCTGGGTAAGGGCGGGGCGGGGGGCGCCGGCCCCGGCCCGGCCTGGCGGCCCGGAGGGGCGCCCGCAGGCCGCGCGCGCCGAGCCCGCCCCCCGCCCCGGGCGCGCGCTCCCGAGCCCGCTGCCCGCTCTCGGGCTCTGTCTCTGGGGGGCGAGGCCGGAAGGGGGACCCTGGGGCGCAGATTCGGCTGGGCAGGGGCTCAAAAAGGGGTGGGGGGCCGCGGCGACGCGGGCGCGGGGTCCCCTTCCCCGGCTGGCGCTCTCCCCCTCTCTTTCGCCCGCCTCCCTCGCTCTTTTTCTTGCTCTCTTTTTCCGCGAGGCCTACACAACGCCAGGGTCTTGGGTGCTTGTTGGGGAGGGGGAAGGGGAGCCCCACCGGGCTCCGGAGACTGCGACAAAAAGAGGGTTTCGGGGACAGGAAATGGGGTGGCGGGCAGAGGGAGGGGGACCCGCCTCCGTGGGGTGTGTGATTTGTTCGGAGAGGGAAAGAAAGAGGGGCCAGGGCGGGGGGGGGGCGCCGCGGTGGCTTAGGGGGCCTCGCCAAGGGGAGACTTTGGCGGGGGAAGTGGCCGAGGAGTGGGGGACGGGTGACATCAGCCCCTCGGAAGGGATCGGAGTGGTAAAGGTGGTGCAGCAAGGGGGAGGGGGCGCGGGCAAGTCGTGGCGCCGGAGTGGGGGGTGGGGAGCAGGGCGCGCGCGGCCGCTGGGCGCGACTTGGTGCGTTTCGGCTGGACAGACTGTGCGCGCGGAGCAGACGTGTCCCGGGCCGGGCCGGCCGTGGAAAGGAAGGAGAATCAAATAAAATAAGACCAAAAAAAAAAAAAAAATGGAGTTAGTACGCTGAGTGCCCAGTGAAGCCAAATGACACGTCATTTTTACAGTATGACCTTTTTTTCCCCTTCCAGACATGCAGGCTTTTTGAAAAGCAAAGAAGAGAATTAATTGTAGCAACTGCCCCCCCCCCGCAGCAGCGCCCCCCATAAACCATTAACACACACATTTTCCTGTTAGTTGGCCACATTGAGAGTGCTTTGTGAAAAGGGGGGGGGGGATATTCACAAATCAGAACTGGAAAATGACATTGGTCTGTAAATGGCTTCTTGATCTGGAAATGGCGTGTTTTTTTTGTCCTTTTCAGGGGGGGGGAGAAGACTTTTATTCCAGGTGGAAGGAGATGAAAAGACGTTAATTAGTTGTTTGTTGAGTGGCATTTGGTTCTGGGTTTTCTCTTGATTGCGGTTTTTACTCTAGCCAAAAAAAGGCGGGGGTGGGGGGGTGTGAACTATAAGGAGATGACCTCTCCTTTAAAGTGCTGCCCTGTTGGGGGGGGGGGGAATAAAATAAAACAAAAGCCTAAAAGACACAGTTGAAATGACCAGAAGAATCACACAGCGCTAATTAGTGTGGAAGTTTTCACTTCCTTAGTGATTTGGCCAACTGAGTTAATTGGTGA